CCACGTTTTCTTGATACAGAACATTCACCTATATTCCACATTAGAAACTACGGGTCTTTCTTTACCAAACACAAAAAAATACAGCTTTAACTTAAGAGTTAAAGCAACTGGCCGGGTGTTGGTGGCACATGCCTTTAATCCCAGCACTCGGGAGGCAGAGGCAGGCAGACTCTCTGTGAGTTCGAGGCCAGCCTGGTCTACAGAGCAAGTTTCAGGACAGTCTCCAAAAATAGTACAGAGAAACCGTGTCTCGAAAAACAAAAACAAAAAGTTAAAGCAAAGCTTTGCTATTCAAATCTTGATTTCTTTTGATGTTGTGTTGCTATTATTCACTATCATGAATTTTTATAATTTTCTTGTGGTCCTACCAATTTTCATTAACTGTATGTATTAAAATTTATTATTTTATTAGTGTGTGTGTGTGGTCTGTGGCATGACTCTTTTTTTTATTTTTGGTTTTTCGAGACAGGGTTTCTCTGTATTGTTTTGGAGCCTGTCCTGGAAGTGGCATGACTTTTGTATGTCTTCCTTCACTGTGGGTTCCCGGGATTGAACTTCAGTCAAGCTTGAGGGCAGTACTGAGCCATCCTATCCCCTTCCTTTACACATATTTTGAGGCTATTTTTAAATAGGCATATACAATGTGTGGTGGTTTGAATAACGGCCCCCATAGGCTAACGCATTTAATACTTAGTGCCATTGGTGGAACTGTTTGGGAAGGATTAGGTGTGTCACTAGGGGCTTCCAGAGTCCATTCATTCCCAATCAGCTTCTCATGCTTGTTGATCAATCAGCTACTGTTGTTCCAGCACGATGCATGCCTGATGCCATGCTCTGCCATGCTGACATGAAAGCTGAAAATGTAAGCCCCAAATAAACTCTTCTGAAAATGTAAGCCCCAAATAAACTCTTCTGAAAATGTAAGCCCCAAATAAACTCTTCTGAAAATGTAAGCCCCAAATAATAAACTCTTCTGAAAATGTAAGCCCCAAATAAACTCTTCTGAAAATGTAAGCCCCAAATAAACTCTTCTGAAAATGTAAGCCCCAAATAAACTCTTCTGAAAATGTAAGCCCCAAATAAACTCTTCTGAAAATGTAAGCCCCAAATAAACTCTTCTGAAAATGTAAGCCCCAAATAAACTCTTCTGAAAATGTAAGCCCCAAATAAACTCTTCTGAAAATGTAAGCCCCAAATAAACTCTTCTGAAAATGTAAGCCCCAAATAAACTCTTCTGAAAATGTAAGCCCCAAATAAACTCTTCTGAAAATGTAAGCCCCAAATAAACTCTTCTGAAAATGTAAGCCCCAAATAAACTCTTCTGAAAATGTAAGCCCCAAATAAACTCTTCTGAAAATGTAAGCCCCAAATAAACTCTTCTGAAAATGTAAGCCCCAAATAAACTCTTCTGAAAATGTAAGCCCCAAATAAACTCTTCTGAAAATGTAAGCCCCAAATAAACTCTTCTGAAAATGTAAGCCCCAAATAAACTCTTCTGAAAATGTAAGCCCCAAATAAACTCTTCTGAAAATGTAAGCCCCAAATAAACTCTTCTGAAAATGTAAGCCCCAAATAAACTCTTCTGAAAATGTAAGCCCCAAATAAACTCTTCTGAAAATGTAAGCCCCAAATAAACTCTTCTGAAAATGTAAGCCCCAAATAAACTCTTCTGAAAATGTGAGCCCCAAATAAACTCTTCTGAAAATGTAAGCCCCAAATAAACTCTTCTGAAAATGTAAGCCCCAAATAAACTCTTCTGAAAATGTAAGCCCCAAATAAACTCTTCTGAAAATGTAAGCCCCAAATAAACTCTTCTGAAAATGTAAGCCCCAAATAAACTCTTCTGAAAATGTAAGCCCCAAATAAACTCTTCTGAAAATGTAAGCCCCAAATAAACTCTTCTGAAAATGTAAGCCCCAAATAAACTCTTCTGAAAATGTAAGCCCCAAATAAACTCTTCTGAAAATGTAAGCCCCAAATAAACTCTTCTGAAAATGTAAGCCCCAAATAAACTCTTCTGAAAATGTAAGCCCCAAATAAACTCTTCTGAAAATGTAAGCCCCAAATAAACTCTTCTGAAAATGTAAGCCCCAAATAAACTCTTCTGAAAATGTAAGCCCCAAATAAACTCTTCTGAAAATGTAAGCCCCAAATAAACTCTTCTGAAAATGTAAGCCCCAAATAAACTCTTCTGAAAATGTAAGCCCCAAATAAACTCTTCTGAAAATGTAAGCCCCAAATAAACTCTTCTGAAAATGTAAGCCCCAAATAAACTCTTCTGAAAATGTAAGCCCCAAATAAACTCTTCTGAAAATGTAAGCCCCAAATAAACTCTTCTGAAAATGTAAGCCCCAAATAAACTCTTCTGAAAATGTGAGCCCCAAATAAACTCTTCTGAAAATGTAAGCCCCAAATAAACTCTTCTGAAAATGTAAGCCCCAAATAAACTCTTCTGAAAATGTGAGCCCCAAATAAACTCTTCTGCTTAGTTGCCTTGGTCATGGCGTCTTACCACAGCAACAGGAAAATAAGTCACAAGGTTAAAATTATTTCAAAATTGTGGTAAAGTGCAAAAACATTTCTGTCCCAAATGCTTTCTGTCTTAATCCATTTTGTACTAACATCATCAGCTTTTGGGGGACAAAATTATGCACAGTGTATCTTCTCTTTTCCCTGATGTGTTTTGTCTCCTTGTGGTTAAGTATGCTCTTCCTAAAAATCGTATTCCAAAGCAAATCAATGTCCCCTCCCTGCAACTAGGATTCCTTCTTATATTCCTTGACCACATCCTCTTATCATGCCAGCCTTGAAGTTCTCCATTGGCTCTTGGTAGAATATTCTAATTGTAACACTAGGTAATGGGGGAAGTAGGGTCTCACTCTGCATAGGCTGTGCTATACTGGGACTCACTAGGTATCTTCCCTCCTGCCTTCCAAGTGATGAGCTCATAGGAGCATGCCACCATGTCTGTAGCTTTGGAGCATGTCCTGGAACTTGCTCTGCAGACCAGGCTGGTCTTGAACTCAGAGATTCACCTGCCTCTGTCTTCCAAGTGCTGGGATTAAAGGCGTGCCCCACCACTGCTATTCTAACACTTCTTGTTGTGTAGTTTTCTCTTACACTGAGTAGCTCAGTTGAGCCTTGTTAGGCCTTAACCCCAGTTATATGCTAGGCAGAAAAGTAAGTGGCGCTGCTACTGTCTCAGGGTATGGGGTGGTGGTATGAGGTTTAATAGCAAAAGTAGGCTACCTTTACAAGATCTGTCAATCCCAGCCACCATCCCAGGGGCCATCCATCCAAATGATTCTATGTATTTCAAGGTTCCAGGTTTCCTCACTCGCTTTAGGACTAGATGGCCTGTGGAAGCACAACTTAATGCCCTTGCTCAGTCCTCTCACTGTGGGAGGCTTCCTGGGAACTTCCCCTTAGAGGATGAGCTCTCCTGTCGAGGCACTGACAGTATGATCACAGCCTCCCCACCAATCTTTATCAGCAGTTCACCAACACCATCTAATGGGAACAGTCACCTCTGCTGTTCAGACACTGTTATTGAAATGTTTTCCTAATGCCCAAATTGCTGAGTGTCCCAGAGTTCTCCATGTGGATCTCTCCCTAGTTACTATCCGAGGAGTCTCCAAGATCAAGCCTCAAGTTGACTGATTTGCAAAGGGTCACAGGACCAAGTACAGGATCAGGCTCATAACTATGATTTATAGCAGGGAAGAACACCAACAAACCCAGTACGACAGAAGGCCCACATGCTGTCCGATTGTCTCCCAACAGCGCTGGACAGGTTTCCCCATTCCTCTAGCACAAAGCACTGTTCACCAGCGAGGCTGCCTGAGCCTAAAGCACAGGTTTTTTTAAAAGGCATTCTTATGATCAGAGTTAGGATTTAATAAATATATTTTAACATAGGCTTAAGAAAACATGAGCTCAGAAGGCATATATACCCTATGGTATGGGTATAGGCTTCCCAAAGATTTGTTTAGACTACATTCTATAGGGTCAGTGGCCCTCTCTAAGGACAAAACACCATTGCCTGCTAAGTTACAAGCTTTCTGTATACTGTCTCTGAAACACTAAGCGTCAGCACTAGAGGTGTCCTCTTAGAGAGCGTCCTGCTTACTCTTAGGGTATGAGATGAGCAACTCTTAATCCCCAACTCAGGACCGATTTCTTCACTCCTGGCCTGAAGGTGTTACTCAAGGCTCCACTCACAGAAGACACTGACAGGGAAAAGGCACTCTGTGCCCAACAGGTTATTAGTGACACAGTCAGAGAAGAAAAACAGGTGGTGGTGGGGGAACCACACCACAAAGCGGGTGCCTGACTGGACGAGGAAGGCCATGTGTGCTCCGACTTCAGTCATAATGGAGGGAGTCAGCCCCCATGTCTCACAGGCTCTCTGTCAGCCATCGACCATCAGCCACCCTAAGCAGCACAGCTTCAGCTTGAACACAGAGAGCGAGAGCACTAAACATCCTCCCACTAGAGAGAGACAACTGCGTCCTCATGGCTGCCCCAAGGGTGGGTGGTTGTGGCTCAAGGTAACCTGAAAAAGATTTATTGTTAAACAAAATATCTATCACTAACAGCACATGGTAACTTGTAATATCAACCTCTTTTCTTCCTTCAGGGTCGATTGTAACCTCTCTTAAAATACAACATGGATCAACAGTGAAATTGCAGGTCACTTTTTATATCTCATAAGCCGAACGAGCCTAAGGGGGTGATCTTGGAAAAGACTCTTCCTTAGAGTATTTGAGGAAATGGTAGCTTCCATCCCCCACAGAGTGCATAGAGATGTAAGAACTAAATCACAGTAACCTGATAGCAAGAGGTACCTACCCATCTCATAATATTCTACTCCAGAATCTGGATTCAACCTTTGCCTATTTCATGACATGTTGGTACAAGTCATAGAGACTACTTAGAACCCACTATAAACCAAAATATTTAATGTGAATGAAAGAAAAAAACATTTATTTTCCTTCAAATCTGATCAATACCACTTTAATGTAGAAGAAGACATTTTTATTTACAGGCTAATTAAGGATGATGCTCAACTTAACTAGATATAATACATTTATCATAAATCACTTTACATGTGACCCAATATATATTTGTTTTAAAATGTGAAAACAACGTAAGCCCACTGCTGTGGGGAATATTCCAGCACCATGGACAGGTTGAGTTAGCTTGTAATTGTTCGATTCTAATCAACAGGCTTCATCTCTTAAATTTAGTTCAACAATAATCCCTAAGCCAAATGTGGCATTTCCATCATGTTCAGAACAGAGAGCTGCCGAAGACAAGTTCACACGTTAAGGTGAACATATCTGCACACACACCTCATATCCTACTGACCACTTCCCCCTTCTTTCACGCTTTCACGTAAGGCTTTACCACCCACTTTTTGGCTTTGTCCAAGAAGCTTCAGTGTTATATGGACATCTTTCCTATTAATGTGAAATATAAAAACTACTTTTCAGGTAGTGCTTTGGGAAAGGTTTAATTAAATACTCAGTTCATCCCTAATGACCACATAGTCTAAAGTGAACCCCCAAGCAGACCTGGGAAAGTACCAGGGTGCGTACAGCAGTGTTCAAGTCACTGCAGCCTTGGGTTTCCAAACCACGGAGAAGCAGAGAAGCAAAGGATACTGGCCTGCAGAGACACAAAGCACTCTGTCTAACCACATGCTGTAAGCATCTCTCACATTCTCACAGGCAATGCACAAACATGCCCATCCAGTTTCTAAAAATCGTATCCATTTATTGTGCAGCTCTTGAAAAAAACCCAAAGGATTATAGCTTACATTTCCTAAAGATTCAGTCATACATATAAGGCATATTCTTTGGGGAAAATAAAAAGGCCATGGTCATTCCCAGGCAATGTATGTTGAAAGAATATAGGAACAACATGGTTTCATGTCATTGCAAAAATGTCTTTAGATCTGTTACCATGGATATTTTTTCTTAAGCTAACTGAATACACTGGCTACCACCTACTTTGAAGATCTCAAGTCATGCAGTGGGGTATGTGTTTGGCATGGAAGGAATACATGAGGGACAAACAGTCTTTCTTTTAAGAGGTCTAGTCTGTCAGGAGCAAATGATAATGTGAAACTTTTTTATTCATTTGTAATTAAAATACTAACCTTGCTTACAGGCAATGTTACACTACAAAGTAGCTCAGCATCAGTAACAATATACAGACCAAGTGCACGTCTAGTGACCAGTTACCATGGTGATACTCTGAAGAATGAAACCACCCACACAGACCATAAATGAGCAACAGTTACGAACTAAATTTATAAATAGCAAAATCACAAAATAAAGTATATACATCTTATAGATTTAACTTTGAACAAATATATAATGCATCTGGGAAAAACAAGCATCCCAAGAAAGGAGATAATGATAATATCCTAAAAGCCTTATATGGAGGCTTTTCCCACTTACTATTCCCTTAGGTGTAAATTCTTTAAGACAGAGACATAGCAAAATTCACCACCTCTTCAAAGACAGTATTTGACTTTGCCCAGCAAGGTGCAATGGTCTGTGGGTCAGGAAGGAAGGAGGAGGCACTCTCTGCTTAGTTCTGATACAGGAGAACTAATACATTACAGGGTTTGCATATAAGTATTGCTTTAATCAAACATATACTGATATGAAAACCAATATGGTCACTGTACCAAAATGTCTTTACCTTGTCTTGCTCACCTTGGTTCCTGTTCTTTTTTTTTTTTTTTTTTTTTAATGATTGGCAAGTCAGGTACTGAAAGCAAACTGCAGTTTGAACACAATGTAATTCACAACAGTAATGTGTCCTGACTATCACAAGACAAAGCTTATGAACAACTCAAAATGTATAAACATTTGAGACTAAACACTAATAGTGTAGTGCTCCAGTGCCATGCACACAGATCAACATAATTGACAACAGGTATTTTACACTCGTCTGAGTTTCCTTTAAACCCCAAAGTAAAATGCACAGTAACTTCTCAGAAACTATTTCTAGTACAGCATTGATTGATTGATACAGGATTGCCTAAAGAAAACTATTTGGTACTGCAGATGAATAAACTGGAAAGCAAACTCGTTATAACAAATGATCATGAAGGATTAATTTAGATATCAGGAATGTACAACACACCTTTTTTAAAAACCTGAAAGAAATTTTTCAGTTAAGCAAAAATGTGCGTAATTCACTGAGTCGAGCTCTGTCATCTGAAATTCTAGTTTATCCTTAGGGAATATGTGTTATGGGTTCTTCTACTCTGCTGTATTCAAAGGGTACTTAGAAAATCCAGTTAGCATTGTTCTGTTACATATGAAAAGGAGCCATGAACTAGCATCCAGTTGGCCCTGGAGAACCTAGTAATACTCCTCGGGAAACACATGCTTTGGTGCTTAGAGTCCAGGAAAATTGCCTTCCATGCAATAGCTAATTAAGGTCTACCACAGAAAATAGGGGTTTATGCACTTAGAATTGTTCACACGAAGCCCTGAGGTTCCCGCCTGTCTTTAGGCAACACACAGCCTCCCTTGATCTTGTGCAATCTTTGTACCATCTTCCCTAGTGCCCCAAATTCCAAGAGTCTGACGAACGTCTGGGGATGGATTAGTAAGCCTTTTTATGATGCAGGCTGTGCAGATCAGCTCCTCTTGCGGTGCTGTCATCCAGAGGGCTTTCACCCGAAGCCCCCATGTCCCCATTCTCATGTGTGTCACTCACTGTCTTCTTATACCCTGGCAAAAAGGAACAGAAGAAAAACCAGGACATTTTGAAGGAAATATGCTTAAGTTTTATAATGTTACTGAGAAAAAAAGGTCCCCTGAAATTATTAGGAGTGATATAAGGCAAACTAACACTGTCTGGCTCAGTTAACAGTCATATACCATATGCATTTTGGCTGAGTCATAGTCCATGTTTTAAGTGCTTGCAGTTTACATAGGTAATACACTTTCTAACATCAGATATAATAAAAAGTAAGGAATATATTTTCTTTCTTTTATATTTGTTTCTGTCCTGGAATTCACTCTGTAGACCAGGCTGGTCTCAAACTCAGAGATCCACTTGCCTCTGTCTCCCGAGTGCGAGGATTAAAGGTGTGTGCCATTGTTGCTCAGCTTGGAACAAGTTTTTAAATACTCATGATAGCAAAAAGACAATGGAACCATAGGATAGCAGCTCAACACTGTACAGTTCTGACAAAATTCCACAACAGACTATCCATGTTTGTCCTATGGAACCCTCCCTCCTCAAGGCACAGTCTTATTGTTATAGCTCTGGTTGTCCTGGAACTTACTTCATAGACCAGGCTGGCCTCAAATTCAGTTTCAACTATCCTAAGTGCTGCTTGCTATTTCTAAAAACATTTTTAAAAGATTGATTTTTATTTATGTGTATATGTGTGTATAAATGCTTGTGGAGGCCAGAAGAGGGCATCAGATTCCCTGGAGCTGAAGTTACATTAGGCTGTGAGCTGCACAGTGTGGGTTCTGGGAACTGAACTCCAGTCCTCCACCAGAGTGGCAAACGCTCTTAACCTCTGGGTCATCTGTTCAGCCCCAGTAGCTGCTGGCTTCCCAGAAGGTAGCCAGGTTTGCATCTAGGCTTTTGTTTACTTTGTTGCAAATGCATGTAGAACCAGCTTCACGGTGTAGCTGGGGAAAGTATTTTAATTGTCTTTTCAAACAACTGTGATTATTCCTTAGTACTATACAAAAATCTAACTATGTGGAACTCAAGCATTATTAACACACAATTACATTAGAGTTCTGTGCTTTTCTTACAACGTGAAGGTGAATATACACAATTTTGTAAAATCACATACAGGTCATACAAAAAACACTGGGTTGCTGAAGCAAGTTGCAATTCAAAAGCTGACATATTTTACTGTACTGTGAAAGAATTACATTCATTAGTGTGTTCATCCAACTCATTCCAAACTTATATATGGGAATCAGTCAAGCTAATGGGGATTGATCCCATGTCCTACAAAACACTAATTTTCATTTAAGAGCTCATATTTTGCCAGGCAGTGGTGGCACATGCTTTTAATCTCAACACTTGGGAGGCAGATGGATCTCTGTAAGTTTGAGACCAGCCTGGTCTACAAGCGCTAGTTCCAGGACAGCCTCCAATGCCACAGAAAAATCCTGTCTCGGGGGGGAGAGAGAGAGGGAGGGAGGGAGAGAGGGAGGGAAGGAGGGAGGGAGGGAGAGAGAGAGAGAGAGAGAGAGAGAGAGAGAGAGAGAGAGAGAGAGAGAGAGAGAGAGAGAGAGAGAGAGAGAGAGAGCTCGAGCTCTCATATTTCATTTTTGGCAATAGAAACTCTCAATTGTCTTTTCTGAAGTAACAGACTGAAAGACTTTAAGATAATGGCCACCAAACAGTCTGAATCATCTGTCAGTCATTCCTCTAAAATGGGAACCTAACCAGTGCAGTACTTGTTAGGACCAGCACCTTTGTTCAATATGCTGGTAATGCTACATATGTACCTTTGTTCAGTAAGCTGGGTAAGTGATGGATGTTTCCTTGGTTCATTACGCTGGGTAAGTGACATGCGTACTTGCATCTCACCAAATGAAACATTAAAAAGCAGTTTACAAAAACTAGTATTGGGGCTTAGGCAAAGAACAGTTAAAAAGAAAAAGAAAAAGAAAAAAAAGATAAACTGGGAGGAGAGGGGCTTGTGATGTGTGCCTGTGATCTCAGCCTGGAGACTGAGGCAGGAAGACTGCTAATTCAAAGCCAGCCAGGCTTACAGTGGGATCCTGTCTCAAAAAGCAAGCCAAAATGAGCAATACACTCAGGAATCAACTTTTTATTTATTTATTTATCTATTCATTCATTCATTCATTCATTTATTGGTTTTTCGAGATAGGATTTCTCTGTGGCTTTGGAGGCTGCCCTGGAACTAGCTCTTATAGACCAGGCTGGTCTTGAACTCACAGAGATCCACCTGCCTCTGCCTCCCAAAGGAATTAATATTTAATTAAAAAGAATCAGTTTTATAGTTTTAGCTCCCAAAGCCAATTTCATTTAAAAGTAAATTCTCACTGTGCTATTATGAAAAGCTCCCCAACTCCATGAGCCTCTCAAAAGCTCCCAGGGATTTCCAGACACTTATCTATGAGGACTTGGAAACCACTACTCTACCCAAAGAAAGTGCCAGCGTGTTTCTTTAAAAATTACCAAATTAAAAATCCTGAGGATCATAAATCCTGCTGTGGGCAATAATCACAGACATCAATTTAACCACTACTCCACAGTGCTCTACCTCCTTGTGTTCTGAGAAAAGCACTTCATTAAGACAGGAGGCATTAAGACACTGTCCTCTGAAGGGATGCTGGTGCTTTTTTGTTTCAGAGTCTATAAACTGGAGTCTTCTTTATTCCTCAAGTACCTGAGCCAAGATGAACTAGAAAACATGCAAACTAGTGTGCATAATAAGGTCATTCCTTTCGTTCTGCAGCATTGAAACCGTGCCACCGAGGAACACTGAGCTTTTTAGCTTTTACATCAACTAATCAACATACTCATAAGACAATTTAGGGATTTTTACCTTGCAACACTTTGACTTCGCCACTGCTGTCTTTGCAGCTAGCACCAGGGTTACCGCCTCCTTCCAACTCATCAAGATACAAACGGTAGCGGTGCCCACTCTCGTCTTCATACTCCACATTCTCATCGTCAGAATCCACTTCAGGGGCCACGTAAACTACTTCAAATTCAATCTCCCCTCTCTAAACAGGGGAAGACACAAAGTCAAGTCGTCGTGACCATAATCAAGACAGACGTCCCGGGAGCAGGTACAGGGAGGGGATGGCAGGTCCTGCTCCTTTTCAGCCACAAGGGGTCCAAGTGTGGAGCCCATGACGGTCAGACCACTCAGTGGATCCTCTAAGAGAGAGCTCCCTCTACTGATCAAAGCATTCATTCATTCATGTAGACCAGGCTGGCACACAACTGAGGATTACCTACAACTCTTGATCTTCCTGCCCTCACCTCCTCTTTTTTCTTAAGATTTACTTATTTATTTTATGTTTATGTATATGAGGGTTTTATGTATGACTTTATGCCTCTAAGTCTTAACCCTTTGTTTAAATTTTTTCACTGAGATGAGACAACGGTGTTAATAAAGATATTTGTTTAGTAATAACAGTCTTTACTACACTTATTGCATAAAATTATAACTTTTATTGATCCCCAAGCATCCCCATTACAGTCTCTTTCTCGTAAATGAGAGAAGTCTTGATGAGTACTGAGGAGAACATGTAGCTTCCCCACATCACAAGCAAGTACAAAGAAACAGCAATTTAGCTATGAAGTCCTTACTCATTTCACTATGCTAGGCTACACGTCAAATTTTTACTGTTATTGCTTAGTAACAACTTTATGCTCAAGCATAAAATTATAAACCATTTTAAAGTAAAGAAAATTCCCGTGGTATAACTGTCCTTTACATCCTAGTCTGTGTTCATAACTCTGAAAACTACTGCTTGTCTTTTGTCAAAACAGAGTATACCAGTTTTGACAGCTACCCACTCGGTGTCAGGCGCCCCGCTTTCCTGGCGCTATCCCGAGAAATGTGCTACAGGCTGTTCTTTAACATCCACTACTGCCTACCTGCAGCTCCTTCCCACAGCCGCTATTCATCCAGTTCTTATGCTGCAGACACACAGTCAAAATGATCCCAGAAAACACTAAGAGACGATAGCAGCACTCTTTCTTATCAGATAACTAGATGATGGGGCATCAGAGCAACATAGGGCGTTACAGGAAGGGCTGCTGAAGTAGACTGGCTGTAGTCATAAAATGTAACTGTAAGGACCCTAACATTCCCTAGCCCACTTTTCTTACCTAACATAATTAAGATGGGCTGAGGGATGGCTCAGTGGTTAAGGGCAGGTTTGACTTCCAGTACCCCATGTTTTAAAAAGCCACACGTGACGGTAGATAATGTAGTCTTCTCAGAGGCATGTCCATGTCCAGTCTATGGCCCACAAACATGTGCCTAGGATACTTATGAATGTGACCCAACACAAAACTATAAACTTACTTAAAATACTGCAAGACTATTTTTGTCATTTTTTTTAACTCCACCGTGTGATTCCAAAGAGTAAACTTTGTAGGTGACAATGCTCTGTCACAGTATCAAAAGGTTAGAAATACATACAAACACAAATTTCAGACTTAATATAGACGATCTTTTTAAAAAGGCCATTACCAGTAGGTCTCCCCTTTATTTAAGCTATTTAATTGATGTCATACAGATGTTTCATCATGTAGAGCTAAGCTAATTACACAATCACATTCAACTACGATTGTTCTACACTAGTATATTATGTTAATGACCCCCAACCCTATTCTCAGAGGAAAATAGAGGTTGCAAGGACATGACATAACAAATCTGATTCTAAGTATGGATTCTTATTCTATAATTTAATTTGCTAGCCAACTTTGAGCACATCCTCTATTCTCTAAGAAATTCAGTTTAGCTACATTAATACTTACCACTATCATATTTTATATTATTCGTATTGGCATTTTGCCTGTATGAATGTCTGTGCCCTGGGAAACCAGAAGAGGGTTTAGGATCCATCCTTGAGCTGGAATTATTGACCATCATGTAGGTGCTAAGGGTTGGAATCTGGGTCCTCTGCAAGAGCAGTAAGTGCCCTTAACCACTGAGGCAACTCTCCAAACCAGCTTAATTATGTTAGGTAAGAAAAGTGGGCTAGGGAATGGTCAGGGTCCTTACAGTTACATTTTATGACTACCACCAGTCTACTTCAGCAGCCCTTCCTCTAATGCCCTATCTTGCTATGATGTCATCAGTCATGCTCTTATGTACCCATCCTATTCTGAGTAGCAACCAACACACACCTTACTGTACACTTGAGCTGTACAGATGAGACTGCTGCAGAGACGACTTACGTAATCTGCTCAAAGATCCAAAGCTTTGGAAAGGAGTAAACATACCTGTCCTTTTTAGCAAAATGTGCATCAAATGACATCCACAGACTTCAAAGAATGGAAACAAGCTCTATGCCAGTTTTAATTCCATAAAGAGAACTCACCTGCTGGGAAAGGATGGTTACAGCTTCTTTATGCTTTGTGTCCCGCAGGTTAACTCCATTCACTGCCAGAATAGCATCTCCAACATGGAGCCCTCCACATCTGTCAGCGGGCTGTCCTGGGTGGATCTCGGAGATGAGAATGGGAACACCGTGTTCCTTCCCACCCTAACGGTAGCAACACCAAAGGCAGTTAGTTAGTTTATATTTTATAAAATGGCTGCAGATCATCGTAGAGAAGACATTTTCTTAAAAACTCATTTCAATAGGCAGGTCTCTGTAAACACTGGGTAAAAGCTTACTTGCTACCAAAAAGCACCCCCAAGTACAATGACTAAAAACATTCCATTTTCTAAAATCACTATAGACCCCCAAACTAAAATACCCAAACAAACAATAACCTCATTTCTTAAACATTAAGAACAAATTATACACTAGTATACCACAGTATTTTGTGCCATCTTGTGGGTCCTTCCATAGTACTTTTATTAACCCTAAATTGTTATGTACTGTGGTGTTTGAGTAAGAATGGCTCCCATAGGCTCATATTTGAATGCTTAGTCACCAGGGAGTAGGATTGTTTGAACGTATTGGAGGGCGTATGAGGTGTGGCCTTGTTGAAGTAGGTGTGGCCTTTCTGAAGGAAGTGTGTCACTGGAGGTGGGCTTTGAGATTTTAGAAGCCCAAGCCAGGCCCAGTGACTCTCTCTCGGCCTGTGAATCAGGACACAGTTTTCAGCTACAGCTCCGGTGCCATATATGCAGCCATGCTGCCCCACCACGATGCTAATGGACGAATCCTCTGAAACTGTAAACAAGCCCCAAATAAATGCTTTCTGTTATAAGAGTTGCCTCGGTCATGGTGTCTTTTCACAGCAACTGAACACTAAGATATGTATGATAAGATCAATTATTTTATGTATAACCAAGATAATTTTTTTTTTGAGACAAGGTTTCTCCATGCAGCTCTGGAACTTGGTATGTAGACCAGGCTGCCCTTGAACTCACAGAGATCCACTTGGCTCTGCCTGACAAGGGCTGGAATAAAAGGCACGTGCCATCACATACAGCTTTAACCAAGGTAGTTTTAAAATCGTGTGATAAATCATCTATTTCAGAAATGTGAAAATATGTAATGTTGAAGAATTACAGTAATTGTTAACTGGTCTCACTTTATGTAGCTTGTGTAAATATGTTATTTCTCCTTTTAAAATTTATTTTATGTATATTGGCATGTTGTCTGCATGCATGTCTTTATAACATGGTCATACCAGGTGCCTGAGGAGGTCAGAGGAGGGTGTCAGATCGCCTGGAACTGGAGTTACCGACAGATAAGGATCTGCCATGTAGGTGCTGGGAATTGAACCAGGGCCCTTTCAAAGAGAAGCAGTCTCCAACCCCAAAGGCATTGCATTTTGAGCCACTTAACTCAGAAAGGAACAGCCTAGCTGTCCACAGGCTCCAGGGAGACCACAGAGACATGGTACAGACTACACTTTCAGTTGCACCGAAGATGTCAGCCCCTAAATTATAACAAGTTTCATATACAAAAAAGTTTTATGCAAAAGTGCTGCTGCCTAAGTCTTGAAAAATGTGGTTGTTTTGAGCTATATCCACAACACTTTGTTCTCCAGACGATGCCTGATTCTCCCAGCCCTGCCGACAGGGAACCCGGAAGCACTACTTCTTACTGTAATTGAAATGCCGAGGCCTTCATGATCTTCCTTAAGGAGGAGGACTTTTCGAATTGGACCAACTCCCTGGCTTTTCTTCAAAGAGTCTTGATCCTTATTGCAGAGAAAAAAAATTGTAGTATTTAAATAACAAACCAAGTAGAACTCATGTTACATAACTTTCTTTTAGAAATAATTATTAATCTTCTGGTATAGATAAACAGCATAGTAATTAAAAGATGAAAATGCTGTTCAGTAGGTATGGCAAATTTTAAGATCTTTTTTCTCATCTTTTGGAAATATATAACTTTTTAGATATAAGACATTATAAAATTACCAGGAATCAATCAATAAACAAGTATCTCCAAGGAATAAAGTAGTAAACATGTATCTTCACTAGAAAATATCTTGTCTTCATACCCTATATAAATGATAAAATTTTTAGAATTGAGATTTTTTTTCAACTTGAACCACTAATTACCTTTTTATTCTGTAGTGCTCTAGAACCTATCTGTTAAAAAGTTCCTTTAGTTGCTTTTTTAATTTTTAATATTTTTACATATTTTTTATTTTTAAATTTAAATTTAAATTAGAAATAAGGTTGCTTCACTTGTCAATCCCAGGTCCCACTCCCTTTCCCTCCCCTCCTCCACTGCCTTCTCACCAACCCCCTCCAGTACCCCCTCCTTTTCCCAGGGAGGGTGAGGCCCTCCATGGGGTTGTCCATAGTCTGTCATTTCATACAGGGCAGGGCCTAGACCCTCCCCCAAGAGTCCAGGCTGATAGTGCATCTCTCATTGTGGTATGGGCACCCAAAGTCCATTTTGTGTGCCAGGGATAATTACTGATCTGCTACCCAAGGCCCCATAGATTGTCTAGGCCTCCTCACTGACACCCACATTCAGGGAGACTGGATCAGTCCCATGCTGGCCTCCCAGCCATCAGCCTGGGATTCAAGAGCTAACCCTTGCCAAGTAAGCTGTTTCTGTGGGTTAAACCAGCCCAGTCTTAACTTCTTTGCTCATCAGTCCTCCCTCTCTGTCACTGGGTTCCGTGAGTTCAGCTCGGTGTTTAGCTATGGGAGTCTGCCTCTGCTTCCATCAGCCATTGGATGAAGTTTCTGTTTCCCAGACTCTCTGGCCGTGGGATTGTGGGCTGGCACTCTCCAGATCTATATCTAAAATCCATATATGAGAGAGTACATGCCATGTTTCTCTTTTTGTGACTGGGTTACCTCACTCAGGATGGTTTCTTCTAGTGCCATCCATTTGCCTAGTTGCTTTTTTTTTGTAATTTATTTATTATTTTATGGACACTGGCATTTTGCCTGCATGTATGTCTGGGTGAGGGTGTCAGATCTTAGAGTTACAGGCAGTTGTTAGCTGCCATGTGGGTGCTGGGAATCGAACCGAGGTCCTCTGGAAGGACAGTTAGTGCTCTTAACCTCTGAGCCATCTCTCCAGTCCATCCTTTAGTTGCTTTTTCTTTGACCCCCTTGCCTTTGTTTTTAGTTTAAACCTAAGGCCTTACTGCACGCTAAGCAAACACTTAGCACTGGCACACTTGGCTCCCTCTGGCATCTTTCATCCTTTTCTCTCTACCAAGCTCCTTTTCAACCCAGCAGAGCAATAATTCTAACCATCTTCCAATTTCAAGACACTGACAAATTCCCAAACCAAACCAAAGGAGCCCACAGCATCCCCTTCACCCTCCACCTTTGTAGTCACTGTCCTCCACCCCCACGTTACTCTGGCCACTATGATTACGACTATTTCCTAGCCTGCAATGTTCTTTACGTTCTCTTGTAAAAATACTGCTGAATCCAATGTACACATTTAGTTACTACCCTAACCAGCAGAAAGTTGACCGGGGTCAATAAATATCCCTTTGAAACTCCCTCTTTTCCTGTTTCTATTAATTTCCCAGGTAACTTACATCTGACTGTTCAGGCTTCTTTCTTTGTGACCCATCCTCTTATGCCACACTAACTTTCCATCCTTGGTCTCCCATTCCTGTCTAATTTATAAAAGTTTTCCCTGGCCACTTATTTCCACAATTTCAATTATCCCAGACAAATACTGCTTCCCTAGTATCTCTCCAACTTAAGACTTCTTCTTGAATTCCAGTCACATGCTCAACTGGATGGATTTCTTAGGTGTGACACCAACACCTCAAACACTGCTTGGCTAGAACTGATGTCATCTTCCTCCCACAGAACTTCATTTTCCTGCACTTCATCAGTAAAAGCCAGAACACGTGGTTAGCAAACCAAAAGCTCAGCCTTCCTCTTCATTCACCTCCTTATCGAACAACAGTTGTCAAGAGCTTAGCCCCGTCAAACCCCCTCATCCTAACTCTCCCAGAGCTGCCCTTCCTTTCCAGTGTCACTTCCCAAGCTGTTCTCATTTTCTCCTTGGATCACCACTATGTCTTTCTGACTGAGGAAGCCGGGCACATTACCATACTATCATATTCACTATTTTATTTGAAAGGTCCATAATGATCAGAGTGATTAAGTTAAGACTCCTATATTTAATGTAAAATAACTTTGGTCTGCTGACTTCTAGCTAACTAGTTAGATGCTGTCACAAAGCTATTTGAGTATGCTGTATCATTCTGACACCCCCCCACACCAACCACTGTGTGCCCAAGTAACCTGTTCTCAGACCTACTGGACCTCAAAGTTAACACGGAACATCAGGCTCTAGAGGACAGTGGCATAACTATGCACTGTAACCTGTTCCTCATTATGTGCTATTAATTCTTCTTAAAATAACTCTTGTGGAGGCAACAGAGTGTTTTACAGTTTAAGGCTGTGGTGGTTTGAATGAGAAAGGCTCATATACTTGAATGTTTGGTTCCTAGTGGGCAGACTTTTAAGGAAGGATTAGGAGGTGTGGTCTTGTCTCTCTCTGCTTGCTGCATGCAGATCAGGATGTGAGTTCTTAGTCACTGCTCCAGTGTCATGCCTGCCCGCCCGCCTGTGAGTGAGAAAAAGAGAAGAAGAGAAGGATGCTAGGGACCAGTCGCCCAGTCACAGTTATGAAGTAGGAAGGAAAGAAAGATATATAGAATAAAAAAGGTAAAAAGCCAAAGGCAAAATGAGTTAAAGAGAAATGGGATAACTTAAGTTACAAAAGCTGGCTAGAAACAAGCCAAGCTAAGGTCGGGCATTCATGAGTAAGAAAGTCTCCATGTATTCATATTCATTTGAGAGCTGGCTAGTGGGCCTCCAAAGAGCAAACACCAAAAAACAAAACCAACTACAGTAACTAACACAAAGGCCACATTCATATGGCACTGAAATATGTGAAACACTGTGGAAAAGTCTGCTTCATATAGTAGCTTGTCTGTGTGAGACATGTTTCACTATGTAGTCCTGGGTGTACTACAACAAACTATGTAGACCAGGCTGGCCCCAAACTCACAGAGATCCACCTACTACTGCCTCTCAAGTTCTGGGATTAAAGACAAGTACCATGATGCCTGATCCTATATACTAAATTGTTACAGTTAAGGTCTGTATTATCTAATAAATTAGAATGCTCCTGTACAATGATGGCTACAGAAGCAGAAAACTGGGTGCAGATTTCAAATTCCATCTAATTGAAGACCAAATAAATGTAAATGGCATTTCAGAATCTATGTTTGGATGTAGGTTCCAAAAAGTCCCTTGAAAACCTCTCCCAAATACAACTTATCACAGTTAAGTTTATAATAAACTTAAGCATGCCCAATCATGATACAGAAAAAAATCTGAAATATGATCCAAAGTACAAGCAATTTGTGTTTGCTAGACAGGACTTATTGTCTGCAGAAGCACCACTCTTGGAACATTAAGTCAGAAAAATGACCAAAATTCCTTTGGGTAATTGCACCTTTTAAATAAGTAACTATTTCAAATAAGCTGAGCCCTTAAGTCAAGGTTTCACACACTAGTAGAAGGAAAGGAAGAATAAGGACTAGCAATCAAACCAAGAAGCTGAGTGGGAAGCAGGAACATACGTGGCCTGGGGGAGCTTGCATGGGTCGCTTCAAGTCATTGCGTCCTCTGCAGGCCCTGATGACGGTTTTGTGGCGATGCAAATGTATTTCTGCTTCTAACTGGTTCCAGAGCTTATCGTGAGCAGGTCCCTTCATATCTCGTCCTAGTAACTGGATTTGTTGGACCCTTCACATGGGAAAAAGAGAGTAATTTTTATTATATTTAAATTAATTGAGAAGAATTATTAATTTAAGTAGTTGTTGTATACATTTCAGTTGATAATAAAACTAATACCCAGGTGTTTTCCAGTGTCTCTCAGTTTGTACAGGTAAACTGAAAGGGACAGGTATCTTTTTTTTTTTTTAATTTTATTTTCCAGTTTAAATTTAGATAAGAAACAAGGTTGCTTCACAAGTCAGTTCCAGGTCCCTCTCCCATTCCCTCCCTTCCTCCCGAGCCCCCCCCCGTTATCCCCTCATTTCCCCAGGGAGGGTGAGGCCCTCCATGGGGGTGTGCATAGTCTAGGGACAGGTATCTTTAAGGGAAAGCCAGTTTTAAAAAATTTTAAGCCGGGTGGTGGTGGCGCACGCCTTTGATCCCAGCACTTGGGAGGCAGAGGCGGGTGGATCTCTGTGAGTTCCAGGCCATCCTGGTCTACAGAGCTAGTGCCAGGACAGCCTCGAAAAACTACACAGAGAAATCCTGTCTCTAAAAACAAAATAAAACAACAAAAAATTAAAGAAATAAGAACTCCTTTAATTATATACTTAAATATATCTAAGAAACCATTTTTTGAGATTAATGGCTACATGTTTTATTTCTTGTATAAGTGAGCTGAGCATACTATTAAATAGAAGCAGTTAGATGACATGGACCATATAAGAACATTTCTTTTAATGACAGTTTAGTTTTACAAAGTCATTAGAAAATCTGTATTTCAAAATGATAACCATTATTTTCTTCTGGGCTGGGGAGACGGCTCAGTGGTTAAGAGCACTGGGCGCTCTTGAAGAGCACCAGGTTCAGTTCCCACACCCATATGGTGACTCACAACATCTGTAGCTCTTACTCCAGGGGCTCTGACCCCCTCTTCTGACCTCTGATATACATGGTGTACATACAACATGCATGTAAAACACTCATACACACAAAATTTAAAAATCTAAAAATAATTTTAAAAAACTTTGCTGCATCTCAGTTTGTAATAGAATATTAAAACGAGTATAAAATGTTTTGATACTAGTAGGTCACTGAACTTTGCAACTAATCCAATCCCCCTAACAATATTAAAGCCAACATAACTAACTTTATAATAAAATTACTTTTATTCTCAAATATATTTGAGGGTCCAGAAAGATCAGCTGTAAAGGGCCCAGGGATTCCTTCCTGCTGACCATAAGAGCACTGCCTGTTGCAGAGTCAAGGCAGGAGATAACTGAAAGTTGTTGCTCTGCAGAGTTACAGGCATCTCACAATAAGTTAGCATCAGTCTGTATCTGTAAGCTATGCTTACTTAGTGTGGATAAGTCAATCTGAAATACATAATGCTGCCAATATTAATTCAACACTGCTATCCTATAGTTACACATAAAAATGACTGAGGGTAAAATCGTTCATTCATAGGAGATGAGTCAACCGCTCGCCACCTAAGAACACAAGCAGAGCCATTTTTACACACCTGCCCGCCAGCTCCTTATCCAAGTACTTGGCAGCCAGTCTCGCCCCATAGACTTCGGCCTGGAGAACAGCTATGTGCCTTCGGAGGGCCTCGTTTTCCTTCCTTAGCAGCTTCACCTCAGCTTCAAGTTGAGCTTCTTTGACTTTTTCTGTTTTATTTGCTTCAAGCTCTCTTTCCTATTGTGATTTTAAAAACATAATTTTATAACATTGTCTTTATGATTTTACAGCCAGGAGACAGTTCTCCTTAAAAACACACACACAAGCTCAGCATATAATACAAACTATGAAAACACGGGGAATTGGATTGGAACACAGAGGCTGAATCTCTAGTTCTTTTGTTTTTATATTTATTTTCAGTGTGTGTACCACACATATGTGAGCTGACCATGGAGGTCAAGAGAAGGGATCAGATCCCTTGGAGCTGCAGTTCTTGGTGGTTGAAAGCAGGCTGATGGGGGTGCTGGGTCCTCTAGAAGAACAGCAAGTGCTCTTTCTGTTTGTTTTTCGAGAAAGGGTTTCTCTGTGTAACAGCTCTGGCTGTCCTGGAACTTGCTCTGTAGACCAGGCTGGCCTCAAATTCACAGAGATCTGCCTGCCTCTGCCTCCCAAGTGCTGGGGTTAAAGGTGTGCTCCACCAACGCCCGGCTCAGCAAATGCTCTTAACTGATGAGCCATCTCTTTAGATGATGACTCTTACTTTGTTTTTTTAAGATAAAGTCTTGATAGATAACTCAGGCTGGCCTGGAACTCACTATGTAGCCCAGGCTAGCCCCAAACCTGAAACCCTTCATCCATCTCTCAAGTGCTGGGATTAGGTATACATAAAACAATTCCTGGCTGGATTTTCTCCTTTTAAAACCAGGAACACAATGTCTTGGCCCTTCTTTCGGATGAGTGCATGCCATGATGCACCCTGACTTTACGAGAAGCAAGAGCAGTTTTCTTTAAGCAAGACACTGAGTCTACTTACTCTCTAACCATGACTGAAGAAACTAGACTAATAGAAAAATAATCAGCCACCCACAAGAGCTCACCACTGCAAGACTCAGGGGGGTTGGAGTGGAAGGACCCTGGGTTCCCAGTCACCCTTGGCTACACACAGTTCCAGGCTAGTAGCTTTTACACACTGGACCATCTCACTGTTCCACTCTAAACTTTCAGAAACCACCATATAACCATGCATGGTGAGCCTGTAGTTACTATGTTAGAGCACACACTCAAAATTCTGTAGGAAGAATGGCTATGTGTGGAGTGGTCTTAATCTCTGGATCTCGTTCATGTATCTGTAACTTACAGCAGATCACAGAGTGATCTTTCTAGGGAAAACAACTTCTTCCCTTTGGCTTCTATGAAGTAAAATAGTCATCCATTTTCAGGTCTCATACAAGAAGCCATCTTCAGTCTTCTATGTGAATCTACAGGTATTAGAGGACATAATTCCAAAACCATCACCATGACGCTTTTGTTTTGCTGAGACACTGTTTCTCTGTGTAGCCCTGGCTGCCCTGGAACTCACTCTGTAGACCAGGATGGCCTCAAACTCAGAGATCTGCCTGTTTCTCCCTCCTGGGTGCTGGGATTAAAGATCCCAACATTGTTTGGCTAAATTTTTACTGTAAATATATATATATAAATTAATGTTCACTTTTCCCTGAGTTTATACAGTGTTTATACTCACAGACCATAGGATCAGGATCCAAGTATAAAAAGGGAGGCTTCAAGTCAAAGCAGAATGCAAAATGGGAAGTACAAATCCTGCCCAAAGAAAGGCAAATTCCAAATCAGATGCTCACTATGTGTGTGGCCAAACACACCTCTCCTGACAGTTGATCAGAGGAGCCAGAGGTATTAGTTCTGAGTCAAAACTGCCCAAACACTCCACACTGGCATTTATCCTAATCAGAGCTACTCTTGCTGACTTACAGAAGTTCACAGAGCCTAAGAAAATATGGTTATGCTTGTTCATGAGATACAGCGGACATGACTCAACTCACCATTATGTTCCCTTTAAGAATACTTTGCTTCTCACAAGGAAAAACTATTTCTGCTGAGGAACTGGCAAATGTGTTATTCTATGTTATAGGCAACAACTAAGTAGTTATTTTTCCTTTTATTCTAGATATTGAGAAGGTAAACAATAGATATTTATTATATAAGTGATAAACAGAAGGAAAATAAGCAGGTTTTTTTTCAGCTTTTGCAAACATGCACACACATGTCCACCCACATTTTTTTAAATTTAAATCCACCCACAATTTCTAGACATTATTAAAAGGGGTGTGGGAAGCTACTAATATAGACTCTTTTTATAGCAACTTTGGAATTACTAATCTCCCTCCCTCCTGTCCTCCTCACCTTTCTTTCTCTTCTGAGATAGTTTCATCCCGTAACCCAGGCTGGTGGTGCCACCTGATTTTGTGTGGTGCTGGGAACTGACCCTGGGGCGCTATCCACGCTAGCCACACTCACTGAGTTTCATTCATTACTACAAGGATTATCTCCTTTCAATGACCTTAATGAGCGAGTTGCACTACACTAATGAATGTTAGATGCTTAAGTGGCTACCACTTTCTTTTAATAATTAAAATTCCTATAGAATCTGACAGTGTCTGAGACTTGAAATTAAGACATGTAAGCAAGCCAGCCAGCCACAGAGATGCACACACCTTTAGCCCTAGTGTCTGCAGGGCAGAGGCAGGCAGACCTCTGTGAATTCAGGAACAGTCTGTCATTTAAAAAATATGTAAACAAGAATGTGATTAAGGAAACTGAAGAGAATTACTTTAAGATCTAAAGATGATTTGTAAATCTGTTTCCTGGTTAACCTTTTTATACTGGGTAATAAGCATGAAGTTTGTTCCAAGTTTTATACTTGCAAAAAGTGAATTTTCAGAAGTGGTAAAGTCACAAAGGATTCACATACTGTTACTGTCTAAAATAATTTCTGATAAAACATTTAAAATGCAATGCTTTAAAGGCTACACAGTCATTTCCAAACCTGCTAAAAGGTCTAACACATGCAGTGGATGAAGGAATTGACATGCACACTCTCTTAATGGGAACGAGCTCAGACAGATACTTGATGGCGGTAAAACCTGGGCCTGGTTAATACATCTTCCACACCCTCATACAGGTATTTCCGCTGAAGTACAAGTGTGAGCAAGTTACAAGATTCAAAGGTTGTCAGAAATTGATGGGCTCTGCTAATAATGGCTGTAAGTCACAAATGAAAGATAAGCCTTTAGCCACATGCAGAGAGAAAAACACGAAGGGCACCTGCTGAACTTTTCAGGTATCTGAACACGGAAAAACTGGCATTAACATTGTTTTCAAATACAAAGTGTGACAACGGGTAATACACAAAACACCAGAACACTTCAGCATGACACATTACATAAAGCAAGAGAAACAACAGACTTACCAGCTCCTCCACAGAGGGGACAGACTTCAGATACAAGAAAAAAGTGTTGTAATTAGAAAACCATTGAGCAAATGAATTTATCTAGTGGTATCATCATTACAAGAAAAACTTCCACATGTTGAGTATCAGTTGAGTAAAACTCATTAGCACAAACACATTTGCAAATCTATAAACAACAGTTATAACAGCCTAAAATTTTAAAAATTAAAATCAGTTAATACCACTGGCCCACTATTTGTTCCTCTACAGCACCTGTTAAAAGTTTAGGAACTCCAGCTGGGCAGTTGTAGCATACACTTTTAGTCCCAGCACTCGGGAGGCAGAGTCAGAATTACCTCTGTGAGTTCAAGGCCAGCCTAGTCCACAAAGTGACTTCCAGAACAGCTGGGGGCTACTACACAGAGAAATCCTGTCTCAAAAAACAAAACAAACAAGCCAAAAACAGAAAGAAAAAAAATCTTAGGAACTCTTCTAATGAATGTTTCTTCACGTTAATATCACATAGCTCAATTAAAAATTTATGGTCTGACTTCTAAGGTGGTTAAATGACACCATTAACACAGATCCATAGCCCTTGAGTTTATGAGGACTTTAGGAGAATATAAATGCTGAAATAGATTTCAACATACCAGTCAAACGTAATTAAGTAAAATTTAAACACGTATTATATTCAGGACACCAACAGCACTGTTTCACTGTCGGTCTCTCCCAAGCTTTACCTTTCTTAAATTACTTAATTTACTTTGTAAATTTAGCTAAATGTCTGGCACATGGAATGCACTCAATACATAGGCTAAATTGAAACCAGCCATACTGTTTTCTATGTAAATAGCCTGTTTTGACTAAGAGCACTACGGCTAATTAGAGTGAAATCACAATGCAACAATAGATAGACAAGACACAATGTTCAGTTGTAGAATAAATGCTTACACGCTACTGAGAGCTAAGAATCTTGCTGGTATTTAACTACACTGTTCCCTTCTCTGTATTATCAGCACTCTGACTTTACCAAGACACATAGACTAACATACAGCGAGGGCTAAGTCAACGAGGCACTGGCCAAAAAGGAAATTTAATGAATGAATGTTCTTTATGAAGGCTAACACAAGAAGAGTTTTTCTGGCCCTCTTTAGGCTGTTCCTTGTTCCTGCCTAGACAAATACTCGAGGAAATTCAAAGCTGGAACTTATCTGCTAAAAATGGTAGAATACCATAGAACAAGGACCTCAGCCCCTAGAATGCACAGAGTGGCTGCATCAGTTCTGGGATGCCTGCCTCAGGGTTAGCCAAGGAAAAAAACCAACAAAACTATTCGAGAACAATCTCAATGCTACTTGGGACTTTTGCTACAGCAGCTGAATTCTACAGACAGTAGAACTAAAACTTGTTTAGGTTAATCATAAATAGCCCTTCAATATACAAATATTTTAAAATAGAGCATTTTCTATTCTACCAAGTAGCTATTGATAGTATCACATATGCTACTGGTGAATACGATGACATAAACTTTGTATTGCTTCAATTCTCACAATGAAGACAACATTTTATAATTGCAACTGTTTTAAAAACGTCATCTTTGCACCCTCCGAAACACAAGTGCGCACCGTGCTTCACTTACCAGTTTTGCCTTAATGGTGCCAGAGTCAACACTTTGACCGGTTTTGGCATGAAGCTGAAGCTGTGTGGAGTGCAACTGTAGGAGCTGATCATGGACTTCTTTCTCCAGCACCACTTTCTCTGCCTGAGTCTCTGTCAGTTCAGATCGCAGATCGACCAGCTGTGCCTGCCAGAGCAAGAGAAAACATTGAGGCTGCTTCGTTTTCTCTGTTACTCAAGAATGGCAAAAAGACAACCCTTGAGGAAAACAAACACTAGCCAACCGTTAGCTGACCAAAACAGCCATCCAAACTGACAAACGGGCTGAAGATATGATACTATAAGACACAGGAGATATGCCTAACATGTAACCCACAGGTCACATGTGGTTGAGGACAGCTATGAATGCAGCCCAATACAAAATGCTAAATATAATTAAAATGTAATTTTTTTTTACAACTTGATCACACGATTCTCAATTGTGAACCTCATAGATGACAACATGTCACAAGGTTTGCCAAGCCTTTGGTAGAGCACCTTCCACATTTTTCAGAGTCGACCAATATTCTGATTTGATAACTGTCAATGCAGAGACTATAGTTCTGCATACAGATATATGGCTTAGGACTATTGCAGAAGTTGTTGGATATTTTTTCCTAATCCCAAGTCAAAATTCATTTAACATTAAAAAATTAGCAATTAAAAATGCTATTATTTTTACTAATGTGTGTCTATATGTGTACATGCCACATAAGTGCAGGTACCTGATGAGATGAGAAGGTACTGGATTTCCTGGAGCTGCAGTCACCGATGGTTGTGAGCCACCTGACACGGGTGCAGGGAACTGAACTGGTCATTTAAAAAGTCAGCAAGCAAGTGCTCTTAACCACAGAGCATCTCTCCAACCTCCAGAATATTTATGTATTCATCCATTGATCTGCATGCGTACACGTCAGTGTGTGAGTGCTGCAACATGTACGTGGAGGTCAGAGGCAGCCTCGGTGTGGTCCTCACCTTCCACCTTAGGGAGGGTCCTCCTTGCTTGCTGCTGCGCTGCATATCCCGGGCTGTCATCTGCCCTCAGGTTTTTAGGGAATTCTCTAGTCCTTGCCTCACGTCTTGAGTCATGTACACACGCTACATCGGCTCAAAGGATCCGAACTCAGGTTTTGAGGATTATACAGCAAGCACTTCTTATCTGCTGAGCCATCTCATTGGCTCAGTAATTCTATTCAATTTGTTTGCTTTTTGTGGCTTTTTTGTTTTTTTGAGACAGGGTTTCTCTGTGTGACAGCTCTGGATGTCCTGGAACTCACAGATCTGCCTGCCTCTGCCTCCCAAGTGCTGGGATTAAAGATGCACGCCACCACTGCCTTTTTTTTTTTAATGAAACTCAAATACCAATTTTTGAGATCCAACATTCCAACACAACATAATCCAGTTATATACTACTTTGAGCTTTACATGCTGAGTAATAATGGGCAAACATTAAGTCTGTTTTCTGTAAGCCGTACATATCTGTAAGAACAGGAAACTATGTCTGCTGTAAGAGCACTGTCAATCATAACCAGCATCTGAGTCAAGGTGCTTCAGGCATGTCCCTCAGCACCGTGTGGTGCAGCAGCACGCACAGTATGAACTGCACGAGGACTCAGGACCAAGGCTGCCACAAGGTTGTGTGAGGCAACACAGGCAAGTGAACACAGGCACGTGCTTGACTCTGAACTAATTTCTGCTTGCTGCAACTCAGAAACCTTTCACTGTTTTCCAACTTTTTGGGACCCTGACATTCAGTTACAAGACCTCATATAGGAGCCCACATCTCAATTTATGGAGCTGTGGGGCTTTTATTTTGGTATTTTTTCTTTTGTCAGAAAACTACCTTTTGCACCATGTAGCAATTATTTTGAGTGCAAAAGCGCCAAGTGCTGAAATCGCAGTGAACCGAAGCATCAGTTAACTGCAGGGAAGCCCCTCAAGAGGCTTACCTATTCCATTAGCTTTCCATTTCTGCACAGCAGATAACTCTGTTTTATCACCACACAGAACCCTTATGTTTGTTCTTCCAAATTAGCCAGACTTGCACCTTTCTTTCCTACTCAACTCAAAAGAATCTGAAGATTTAATTTTTAACTTAAAAGGCCAGAGAACCATACTGTCATTTAAAAAAAATGAGAGTTAGCACAGCTCCAAGGAAAATCAACTTATGGTAGCAACACTGCTACCATGGCGATTTGAGAAATGGAAATAGAGGATTTTTATTGTGTTGATTGAACAGAGTGTTAGCAACACTCTGCAATACATTCAAAAATAAGGTCAACAACAGAACAGGACAAGGAGCTTTTCAGAGTGCAGCCACTGATGCAAACAGTCACTTTAGGATTACGCTTACTTAGGAGAGGGAAGGATAGACAGTCTTAGATATGCTGATCTTTGCGTAAGTCATGATATGACCAACACGGACCGTCCCACAAGAACTGCAGAAGTGCAAAGCCGAGGAGTGCACTGGGGTTAGGAGCAGAGATGTGATATCCCAACACAGTCACATGAGAAGACAATGTAGGACTGGGACTTGGAAAGTTACTGGTCAGGGACGGTCCGAGGGGGAGAGGAAAAAAAGACAGCATGAAAAGACATCAAATCAAAATGTGGCTGGACAAAAACACTGCCACATGTGACGGTTAGTGTTAACTGCTAAGTGACAGAAGCAGAATTCCCTGGGAGATGGGCCTTTCGGTGTGTGTGTATGTGTGAGTGTGGTATCTTGATGTTAAGTTGTGTGGGAGGTCCCATCTTAATTGTAGATGGAACCATTCTCTGGGTAGAGGACCCCACACAGCACAACGCAGAACTCGCAAAGCCCTGTGCACACAAGCAATTTCTGGTCTCTGCTCCTCGACTATGGATGCAATGTGACCAGCTGTCTCAGCTCCTGCTGCTATGGCTTCCCCACTACGATGGACTGTATGTAACGTGAACTGTGACACAGCAGAGATCCTTAAGTTGCTTCTGCCAGAGGAGAAATTGAATTTTTACTGTGTTTATTATTAGTACTATCAAGGAGTATGGGCCAGTGGAGGTCAGAGGGCAGCTCTGTCCAGTTGGCTCTCTTCTTCCACTGTGACTTGAACACAACAAAGCTGGCTCCGCTGGCTTGTGTGTCAGGTGCCTTTACCCCACGAGGGTGTTTGATGCTACTGTTTTAAGACTGGGTCTATGTCCCCTGGCTGGGCTGGAACTACATGAAGACTAGGCTGGTCTTGGATTCAGATACGTCCCTGTCCCTGCCTCTCAAGTGCTGAGATTACAGGCGTGTGTCAGCATGCATGGCTCCTGCATATTATTTTATCACAGCAATGGAAAGGAACCAAAACACTGTTTCTTTCATTGCTTCATACAGATGAGTCACCTCCATAAACTAGTCCTCATTCTGTTGTTGCTGTCACCGTTGGTGCTAATCAAACCCAGGACCTGGTGTACGTCAGGCAACACTTTACCCACCACGGAGCTACATTCCCAGACCTTCCTTCCTTTGTAACATTTTTATTCAGGTATAACTTGTATCAAAGCAATACACAAATAACATATTAGCAAAAGTAAGCATATCTATTTAAATAGCACACAATTTGTAAAAAAGAGCAGTCTGTCTAGGGTACATTCACTGTCTGGTCTTTTGTTTCAAGAGTGCATTTAAGATTCACTTATACTATATTTTATTTTCATTTTATGTGATTGTTTTTTCACTAAGACACAATTTGTCAGTTTCCTTTACTTTCAACAGGTACTCCCTTCGGCTATAGGTATGATATTGATAAACAACGTGTCATTTGTTAAATACTGAGTATACTTTTCTTGACTGTGTCTAAGAGGGGAATTTTGGATTACAGAATGGAAACAGTTGTTTTGTGATTGATTCCAATTCCTTGTAGATGCAAAGGTTTATGAATGCTCTCAAATCCCTTACATAAAATGGCTAATACTTGTATATATGTGCTCTATATACCTCAAATCACCTCTAGATTACTTATGGAAATAATTGTTATAGTATTCTTTTTTCTTTTTAAATAAACTTTATTATCATAAGAAAAAAAACATTGCAAATATATAAAAACATCACATACCAAAATTAACCAGCCTCAAAGTCTATACAACTCAGTGAATTTAAGAATTGGCATTAGGACAGAGGTTGTAAAGGTTACTGTTATAGTGTATCATTTAGGGAATAAAGTTGAGCAGATAAAACTGCTTTACCTACATTTGACCTGTGAGGTCCCCTTTTTCCTCAAGTCTGTTGGCCACCAGTCCACAAGGACGAAGGGATCTACCCGAAGGGGTGAGTTTTGTATGGCCTGTGAGCATGAAGGAAACAACCTTCCCGGAGAAGCTTCAGTGAGGCGGCTCAGCTTTATTCCAGAGTATAGGGGAAACACAGGTTTGGGGACAGTAGCTGGCAAATCGCCTAATTTGCATGAAGTGGCACTCTCCTACCACTTAGCTGGATTAGCAGCGGCACAGCCCTATCAAAATAGCTAAAGCATATCGTATCACCTAATTACCATATGGGTAGCAGGGGAAAAGTTTGAGGGAACTGTTCAAGGGTCACTCTAGAGAGAAGACAGGCATCCAGGTCTAGAGACAGTCTCCAGACAAGGTCAGGTAGAGCTGCAAAGCCATGGTAGACTACAACCTCTGACCAGCAGGGCCTCCCAAGACTGACCCATGGTTTCTTGACTGTCCAGATGCAGAACCGTGTGTGCTAAAGCTCAGGAGAAAAGGCCCAGCACTTTCTCAAGGGATTTTAGGCACTATCACGCCTACCAAGCCTGAGAGCTATGTTTCACATCTTTGTCGGCACTTGACAACATTAGCTATACTGACTAAGATGTAATGACAGTCACTCATGGTTTTATTTTTTCTTCATGGCTAATACAGTTGATCACCCTTGCATGGGTTTTACAGTGAACTGTGTCTTGAAATCTTTACCTCAAATTTTCTTTCCTTGAGTATTCATATATGCTACCCTATTGGCCTCCAGGATAAAACACCGTCACTGAGATGAAGGCAAAGATTTCACTAGACCCAAGATAAATGACAAATGGGTGTTTATTGGGGGAACACTCACACAGATAATAATAAAGAACTGTGGAAATGTGTCTCTGCTCTATCAGATTATCAGATTGGCTGGCC